CATGGCAGGAGTCCGGCGGTTTGGGGGTGCAGCCCCACGGCGGGGCCAGGCGCCCCGAGGGCACCCCCAGGAGCTGCTGGGGAGCCCCTAGAGCCTGGCCTGGGCTGTGGGGGGTCTCCGGGGCCCCGAGCCAGGCCAGGGCCAGGCCTGTCGCCAGCGTGTGCAGCCGCGAGGGACGCGAGGCGGCCAAGACCCCCCCGGCCTCAGCGTCAGCCACAAAGCCGTCGGCCATGGTGCTACTCCGTGCCGCCGACAGGTCGCACGTCCCCGCCGGCCCAGGCTGGGGCTGGGGCTGGGGCCGGGCCCCGCGTTTCTCCGCCGCGTTCCCTCGGGGTAGCGTGAACTGTGAGCTGTGACTTGTGCACTTTCCCCACTAGTTGGTCCCGTAGGTGTGTGAGCGCCCGGTGGGCGGCAGGTCCCCGGGCCCCTCCTGCCCCCTTCCTCCCCCGGCCCTCGTTAGGACCCCGCAGTGCGTTGTTTGCTCATTAAAGGTCGTTCTCACGGTACCGCCTCCGCCTCTTTGTGTAGCTCGGCCTCCCCGGGGCCTGCTCCAGCCCCACGGGGCTCAGGGGGGCCGGGCAGCTCCAGCTGGCCACTGCTGGTATGGGGGCACCCCCCTATCGGGACCTCCGGGTGGGGATGGGTTGTGGCACCAGTGGGCTGCCTGTCACTGCACCTGTGGCGGCTCTCCCTCCCAGAGGTGCTGGGCACCATCGTGCCACGGGGCACCAGAGCCGTGGCTTCCGCTGCCCCGGTGCCGGGCCTCCCTTCTGGGCCATCCAGCAGCGCCCCGGCCCTTTCTGGGCATGCATCACTGGACGCGGTGGGCATCGGATCCTGTGCCAGAGCCGCTGGTGATTCAAGAGAAGGGAGCCGGGTGCAGCCTGGATCCACGGAGCGGGAAGCTCCTGGCCCGGCCCAGTGGGTGCCACGAGGATCAGGCCCCCAGCCTCGCCTCTCACTGAAGCCCGGTGTGAAGCCCTCACCCAGCCCTCGTGCCAGCTCCGGCTCCAGCACCCCTTGGCCCCAGCGCTGGAGCACCCGTCTTCCCGCCCCAGGGCGCAGCCCAGCGCTGCTTCTCTCCAGCACCATGGCACGGCTCCCTGCCCGGATCTGGCGCCGGCCCCAGGGCCCTGGCAGCCTCCACAGCCCTTCCCGCCCAGCTCTGCGGGTTTTCCGGGTCTCTCAGCGCGGGCGGGAGCTGCCCCTTGCCCTCGGTCATCCACGCAGTGTCAGTGTCTCCCGGCTATGGTTCAGCTGCTGTGGGCTCTTGGCCCCGTTGTCCCTGCACCTGCCAGCCAAGGGGTCCCGTGGCGCGGCCCGGCCGTGCTCCTCCGCCTGGGGTTGGACGCAAAGGACATCGGAGCTGCCACGGACTGGCTCGGACCCCAGGTCCATCGTGTCCACGCTCCGGTATCGCAAGGGCAGAGAGCAGCAGCGGGAAGGGAGGGTGCCCGGGTCTGAGCAGGGTTTTCCCTGCTCCCCTCCAGCTCGGGGGGTCCAGGCAGGGCTGACGCAGAGGCTGCGCCCCTGCCCGGGCCTGCGTCCAGCCGTGGGCCTGCGTGGCTGTAGAGCCACAAGCGGGGTGGGGGACAGCGCCGGGCTTGGCTTCTCCCTGGGGAGTCCGGGGCCCTGCTCGAGCCGGGGGCCAGCACATCCGTGGTGAGTTGGGCTGGGGGGATCCCGGGAGAGACGCTGGCCACCGGATCTGCTGCAGGCCCTTGCCACGCCGGAGCCCACGCTGGATGTGACGGTGACAGCCCTGCCCTGGGATCTCTGAGACTTACGACTGGCTCCAGACTCCCGCTCCTGCAGGCCGCAGCTGCCCACGTGCAGGGCCCTCTGCCGTGGCTCTGGTCACCTCCACGGGACCGAGAGCTAAGGCCCGTGGCGCCCGGGTCTCCATGGCCCAGGCGAGAGCAGACACCCTCCCTGCGGCACTGCCTGCGAAGCAACTGCCCCCGGGCTGGGCAGGACGCCTGGGAGGGAGCAGGCCAGGGGCTGATGGGCACTGCTCCCTGCTGCTGGAGCCCAGGGGATCCGGACCTGCATGCATGCATGCACAGGCATGTGCACGGACATGCAGGTGTGTGCAAGATCTGCACGGGCATGTACATGGCTGCATGGACAGGCAAGAATGTTCAGGTAAGGACATGTATGTGTGCAGGTGTGCGCATGGACATGCACGTGTGTACAGCCATGTAGGTGGACACACACTCATGCAGGTGTGTGCAGAGTGTACCGGGGCGGAGCGCCTGTGTGAGGACCAGGCCCCCTGCACCCCATTCCTGCCCCACAGCGATGACCATGGCCTCCGGCCCGGCCA